CGGCGCTGGTACATCGTCGACGTTGTCGACGCGGCGTGATTATCCGACCTCTTCTACGCGGACCCCATCGAGGAGGCCTCTACTCGGGGGCGGGGGGCTGAGGAAATGAGACGGGCCTTCTCAGAAGGTTCGGAAGCCCCCCGGCCTTCTGAGAAGTTTTCTAAGCTTTCCCCGAATACACTGAACACTTTTCAGAAGGCGCGAGGGCTTCTGAGAAGCCCCGCCGCCTTCTGCCAAGGCCTTTTCCTTCTCACTTCCCCCCCTCGCTCGCCGCCGATCTACGTATTTGGGCGCGGTGGGTCTGGAGGATCGAGCACGGTAAGATTCGTAACCACAACCGACAGCAGGTCCTGCCCACTTTGAGTAGCACGTCCTGCCCGTGTCGCCGCGGGCGCTGTCCAGTGAAGGCAGAGGGGCCGCCTGTCCAACAGCGACCGCTGTCGGTGTTGGGCTACATTTGTTGTTCGGCCTCGTGCCAACTTCTTCCGGAGGCGGATAGACCTCCTACCATGACATGTCGATTAAGGAATTGGCCGTTTTCGGTTCGCGAGAGGGCGTGATGGCGTCGCGGCCGTAATTTTTGCGGGTCCAGGTCCGTCGGTTTCGGTCCCAGGCCGTTTTCATTGAGGGGAGGTTTACCAAAGGGAGGTTTGTCCACCGCCGATTCCTCCATGCCCCTCTTCTGGCGTCCGGAGCGGGTGGCACCGCGCGCACGCTTCGCCTCGTGCAGCCCGCAAGAGTCGACTTGCGTCCGCCCGCTTCTCGAGCGGAGCGCCCAGCGATTGGGGGGAGCCGAGCGCCCAGGGATCGGGGGGGCCCGCTGCGCCGCTGGTCGGCGGTGCGGAGGCCGCCGTTATGAGCCCCGGGGCCATCACGGCTCGGCTCAGCCCGAAATCGGAAAAATTGGAACGTATACATTACCAGTGGCGGGCTGTTTTTCAATCCCAGGACTTCTTGAGGGTCGAGGACGACGCTGGCGTAGTGTGGTGTAGGTTTGTTTCCCGATGTCCCGGGGAAACAACGAAAAATGTACACACCAGGGTCCCGTATACACGAGGATCCGCTCTCCAGTGCAAATTCCAATGCAGGGCCGGAACAAGCGTCGGTGTATAGAGTTCGATTCCCTACGCAAGCTGTCGCAGAGCGACGGGGTCCGTGGCTCTGGCCGTGCTTTTTGGCGGGGTCGCAGTGCTTTCGCAACGGCGGATCTCAGGGTCGTTTTGCGACGGCCCCGGGGCCAGAAGTCGGCCTCCGGAGGCCGAAGGAAACAACGTAGCACCAGGCGTCGCGCGTCTGTTCTGTTTTGGCAGCGCTTCGATCTGAGAGGAGGGGCGGACGCAGGGTTCAAAGGAGGACTGCATCGACATAGGCTTCGGAGGTCCCCGCGGATTTCTTGGTCGCCAGACGCGCGGAGCGCGCCGGAGGCGCCGCCAAGGGTCCAGCACCGATCCGAGACATCCGCGCAGAGCTCGGAGTGTCTTTCTTGATGCCGTGGTGTGCTCCTCGAAACGCCCCGCCGCCGCCGCCACTGGACACCTCTCGGCTCAGGAGGGGCCCGACAGCCCCGCCCGCCCTGGCCCGGCGCCAGATGGAAGCCGCCCTGGCCTGGCGCCCCGCCCTTGGCTGCAGCCGGCTCGCGCAGGCCCGCAGGACGCGCTCCGGTCAGTGCAGAAGCCATGCGCCAGCTCTTGGCACGGCGCCTGGGCACATGATCCAGTTCATTTTCGGGGGCGGCCAAGAGGGGTGTGATGACAAGGGGGTGTGGATATCATGGCGGGGCCATGATATCTCTCCAGATCTCATGGCGCCTCTTCTTATTGAATCGCTTCGCTCATTCCGCCGGCCCCTATTGTGCCCTCGCTGGCGTTTGGGCTTTTGGGGGCCTTTTGAGGTGTTAGGGGGTTTCTTGGGGCCCTCTTGGGTTTCTGTTGGAGCCTGTTTGGGGTTTCTTGGAGCTCCTTTGGGAGCATTTGGGAGCATTTTGGGGCTTCTGGGAGCCGCTTGGTAGCTTCTTGGGGGCCTCGTGAGGGCCTTTTGGGGGCCTCCTGGGGCTTGAAAGGGGCCTCTTGGCGCCTCCTGGGGGTTTCTTAGGGCCGAGGGCTCGAAACGTTGTGTCGTGTTCCCCCTCTGGGGCTTCTCTCAGAGTGTTTTTGGGGCCCTCTTGGGCCGTCCTGGAGGCCTCTTGGCCCGTCTTGGAGGCCTCTTGGGCCGTCTTGGGGCCCTGTCGGAGGCCTCTCGACTTTAAGGGTAGCTCTTTGGGAGATGTTATAGTATCGGGAGCATAGCTCGCGCGCCGTTGCCTTTGGCTCAAGGCACGCGCGCCCCATTTGCCCGGACACCGCGAGTGTTCGCTATGTGTTGGAAAGACCGATACATCGATCTTATCCTATCTTATCCGTCCATTCCTCTTACTGAACAGCCTCAGTACGATACCGGACGCTATTTGCCATCCGCTTCCCATGGAATCGGATGCTATTTGAGTTACCAGGCTCACTTTCGA